AGGGACATATGCAGACACCAACTTCACAGATTCTTCCTGCTGAAAGATGGCCATAAACGCACAGTTCTCATCTGGAAGCATACACCTGACTGGTTAATTTCACTATCAAAACATTTTCCCAACAAAATATGTACTGTGTGGGTACTCTGGTCCCCTGACCTGCCCCTAGCCTGAATTTTTTTATTATCTAGGAAAAATTTCTCAAAAATGGATTTTGATTTTCATTCATGAGCACTGGAGGGCAGTTGCCTATAAACTGTGCTGTACGTGGCTACACCCATTCCAAGTGGTTGCTGTGTCCTCACTGTTGATAGAATGACAGGAGGAAACAGGTGGGTAACTTAACTAAGCCACTACTACCATCACCACCTCCAGGTAAAAAAGGCCAGATTTGCTTTTGTTTTAATAAAACAAAAAGGGCTTGAAAAACATAGCTTGCTTTTAAGACTTAAAAACTGTCCTAAAGCATTAGATAAAGACTGTAGTTCCCACACCCAGCTTGAATTAGCTCACCTGTGGAGATTCCTGGGCCCTCCCAAGACAACTGAGTCAGTACCAGGTTGGGAGCATTTTTGCAAATCTCCAAGGAGATTTCAGTACACAGTTGTGTTTGCAAACTACTGAGTTAATCCTTGGTGGGACCCATATATCTGACATTGGCTCTTATTTCCACTTGATTTGACCAGGAAACAATGAGAGTATTTCATCTTGTCCAGTCAGGTGTTGGAGACTTTTCAGAATGCTTGTTTATAGGTTCACATTCATTCCTGGAGCCTGAGCAGATGCTAGTGTGAGGTATTCAGGCACTAGTGACTCTTGAACTGTGCTCTTTGCCCTACTCCAGCTGATGTGTTATTTCAGAGTAGGTGCCAAACTAGAAAAAGAACCTGTAGTGCCATCTACAGCCTTCCCCTTTGATAATTATTGCAAGGTGAAACAAGCTCGTAATGCCAGAGAAAGCGCCTTTCCATCATTATTCTTCATTGGTTTGAGATATGCTTTCAGATGAGGAGGCATCTTCCCCATAGTTAGTGCTCACCAGTGAATATTAGTGATTACTCAGTCACTTCTTGCTGAGTGAACTGGGGTGAGGGAGCGTTAGGCCTATGACTGCCGAGCTCTGCAGAATAGGCCTAGAATGTACAGTTTAGGTATTTCAGGAGATGAGAACATCCTTAATCAGAGCCTGGGGCTGTGTCCCGTGCTGCACTGTCCCGCTGCCCAGTGTTGGACCCTTGTCTGCAGCTCTCTAGCTGACCACCTGGCTTCTGGTGATGGTCCCTCCCTCACTTCGTAGTCCCTCAGCTTTTTGTCATTTGCCACATACATATATTATTGTCCTATAATACCTATATGATCTGCTGTTCTATATCATTTCCTCATTTTCTACTGTAATTCTCTTCTTAACTGTTTTTAATTGATTCTTGATTGACTTACCTAGTGCCTTTTCATGGCCCTTTCTTCCCACTCCCAAAATAGGTCTTTGTCTTTGGGACCTTGAGATAAATTGCCTCTAAATTATGAATAATTAATGCACTGGACTAATATGCATAATATGAATTTTATTTTGGTTTATCTATGACACCCACTAATATTCTCAGCTTCCATTTATTGCTAAAGCTTGTGTTTCTGGCTGTAAAATATTATTTTTATGTATATCAGGGTCTTTTTATATGGTTTTTTCTTCTCTTTTTGCTTCCTTGGGGAGTTCATTCCCCTTTCGATAAACTATGGTCCTACCCCACAGGGTTTTACGGCCTGGATGAGTCTGACCTGGACAAGGTCTTCCACTTGCCCACTACCACTTTCATCGGAGGACAGGAGTCGGCACTTCCTCTGCGGGAGATCATCCGTCGGCTGGAGGTAAGAACACAGTACAGCTTCCAGAAAAGTCCAGTGGACTTGTTAAGAAGCTACATTAGCAGGATGGCCTCAAGACTAGTTTTCATTGATCCTATATTTTTTTAAAATGTAAGGGAAAATGAACTATTTTTTGGCTGTTTCGTAGATAGAAACCTATGTTTTTGCAATTAGCCATTGTGAGAGGGAAAGAAATTTCCCCCCAAAATTTCCAAATCCCAGGGGGAGTTTATGTCATAATGTGTGACATTCCCTGGAGAGCCTGGCCTCAAGCCAGGACTCACTCCCCATATGCACAACTCCCAGGGCTGCTGGGTGGTGGACGCCTTCATTCTCCCCTGTTTCCCTCCGTAACTCTCATTCTTGTGTTTCATTTCCTTTTTTTCCTTCTTTTTGGACTTTGTTAGTACTAGGCACACTGGGATATTTCTTTGTACACACATGCTATAAACAGTGGCTAAGAGTCGTGGCTCCAGTGTTAGGCTGCCTGTTTCCACTTCTTCCAGCCTAGGACAAGTTGCGGCCTCCCTCATCTATGTAAGGGTGACTGTGACTCCCATTCCAGAGGGGAGAGTGGATTTGATGAGAGCTTCATGCCGAGCGTTAGCTGCTATCATTATTTAATGCTTCCCATGGTGTTGAGAGCTGAAGAATCAAAATTAAAGCACTCTGGAATGTAGCCCCTCAGAATTGAATGTACTGATCCCCTGGGGTCCTGCCTAAGATGCAAATTCTGAATTTGTTGGTGGCACCTGATGTTCCTAACATGCCCAGGTTGAACCACACTGGCCAGTAGGGCTCTCTGAGGTGGTTCCTTCCATGGCTGGATGTTACAGCGATCTGGGGAGCTTTCAGAGATCTCAGTGCCCAAGCCAGAACCCATGTCCCAGAAGTCAGAATCCCCTTGCCACCCCAATAATTAATCCCTGTACCAGCGAGTGAAGTTTGAGTTAAAATTCTGTTGTCAGTGGTTCCACAGGAATATCTGAGTGTCAGATGGTGGCATTTCTGTAGTTTGTGATGAGCGTCCTACAATATTATCAGCATCTCCGCTTGGGACTGCTTCACTCCTTGCCTTTCTCATTTCTGGGATTGTGGGAGAAAAGTAGGTGGAGACCAAACCTAGGGCCAGCATCAGGAAGGAGTTGTCAGCTGGAAAGAGCCAGTGCCAGGAAGGAGTGGCCAGCTGGAGGAAGTGGGCACCGGGAGGGAGTGGTCAGTATTAGTCTGAGGTGAATCAACCTTTGGATCCTTCCTGGCTCCGTTATCTGCACCACACTGACCATCATCTCCAGTCTTGCCCTGTTTAGTATGGGTGCCAGTAGCCAGCTACATGTAAATATTGAGCACTCAAAATGTGCAAAGTATCTCAATGACCTTTTAAATATTGAAAGATCATATATTTAATATCTTGGGTCAAATGAAGAAGGAAAATTAATCTCATCTGTTTCTAATAGGAAAACCTATATTACGCCTGTGGCTCACGTGGTATTTCTGATCTAGTAGGAAAACCTGTATTATGCGTGTGGCTCACATTATGTTGCTGATCTAGATCTCATGTTGCCTAGACCTTACAAACAGCTCCCCATATAGACCAGTCCTTCTCCACGTGGCCCTGCTCTGAGTTTCATGGCTGCTGTGTGTCCCCCTCATTCCCTTTGTGTATTTCCTGTTTATCTGGTCTTGCAAGAACAGCAGTCTGATGAAACTAGCCTGCACTAAATACTGTCTTGGCACTGGCACCTTCCCCTCATAGGAGTCTCCAGTGGGGAGCCCAACAGCTCTGTCATTAGAAAGCTCCCCTGGGGTACACCATCTGCACAGGAGGCCACAGTGTCCCCTCCTAGGAGCCCCCTTCAGCATTTTCCTTCCCAAAGAGCAGGGTCCAGGGGCAGGGGGTGCTTATGTCCCCTGTGGTTAACTTCCTCTCTGAGCCTTGAGTCCTAAGTAGTCCTGTTTCTGTCATGTGAGGTGGGGTAGAGAGCTCACAGCACATGATGGGGCTGCCTCCCCTCAGCCCCTCTGATGCCAGAGCCTCAGAGTTGGGCTCTTACCCCAGAAAGCCCAGTACACAGCACTTCCTGTCCCTGGAGTGCCCCTAGCTTAGAATAGCCTATTCTCACGACAGTTTACAGACATTTGCCTAACCCCCTTTTTTTAGTCCATTTTTGTTGCTTATAACAAAATACCTGAAACTGGGTAGTTTATAAAGAAAATGAAATTTATTCCTTATAGTTTCAGAGGCTGGGAAGTCCAAAGTCCAGGGAACACATCTTGTATGCTATACGAAGTTATTACGGTGGTGTGATCAGACAGAACTTTGGTCATGTGACATAGGGATCCACTTGTGGCTCTTCAAATAATTAGAGGAAGTGCAACTTCTTGGCTTCTAAAATTTGTCTCACTATAGAGAGAAACTAAGAATCATTCCCTAAAAATCTCTGCCCTTTTCTTTGGGAGATTGAGCCAAGAACAGGGAAACAAAACATGATCCAGTGGCCTGGTAACTACACCTCCAAGTTAATAGCTGAAATAATGCTGATAATGTTGGAGAGATACCGATTTCCATAGTTTTTAACCCTTTGAGCCTTTTTTTTTTTTTGTCTTTTTTCATGTCCGGCAATGGATCGCAACCCTCAGTGTCACGCCCGTACCGGACTGGGACCGGCAACGGGATCGCAACCCTCAGTGTTGCGCCCGCACCTCGCTCAGCCAGTGAGCGGCCGGTCTGTATGTGGGATCCGAACCCTCGGCGGAAGCGCCGCCGCGCTCCCAAGCGGCGCACTGTAGCAGTGCGCCACCGGGCCGGCCCAACCCTTTGAGCTTTTAATTATTCATTAATGGAAATCCCACCTCCTATAAGAGGGAAGGAGGAGGGGCGTGGGCAGTGGGTTCTGTTGCCTTTGTGATGGGGGGTGGCCGCAGTGAGGACAGGAAGGGTCCTCACCACCTTGCCATCCCTCACTAGCAGGCCACTAGGAGGGACTGGGATGACGAGGAGTGGGTAGAGAGCCAGTCACTGAGTTTGCAGCTCAGATATGGACCCCAGGGAAGATGGGTCCTCTTTGAGGTTTCGTTAACAGCCACTGTGGGGCTGGGCCATGTTTTCTCAAATGGGTTTCTCCAGAAATGCATTTTTTTTGACGGTCAGTAGATTGGGGTACTGTGGGTCTCCAGACACCTATAAAGGTGAGACGGGACAGTGGACTGATGTTGGCTTTGAATATAGGGGTGAGGGCAAATGCACACCTCTCCTGGACTTCCTGTGCATCTGAGTTAGAAGTTCCCAGTTTGACCATCATAGATGTCAGGGAATACGGTTTAGGGCTAATAAAAATGCCTTAAATACCAGGGTGTTTCCCAGCAACATTTTGTCTTTTTGTGTCTAGGCAAAATTTTCCTTCTCTTGACTAGGGTGTTAACCAGAGCGTTGTGGTTAGCCATACTTTTGAGTTCAGGCAAAGTCTGCTTTGTTCCATGATCGTGGAGCAGTGGGCAGGGATGGCCCATCTTGCCCTACAGAGAACAGGACTGACGCCAAATTCGGCAGAGCCTTTACCTGCCTTGTGAGCTGGTGTCCTTTTCTTGTGAAAACCAAATGGGGTCACGGACGGGAGCTGCCAAGCAGGACCTGGCACTCTGCATTCTTGGGCCGCAGTGGCCGCTGTGAAGAGTGCTACTGCAAGGTCTGTGAATTGTCTGTTGGCTACGTCAGGGCCTGTTTCCTCATGCCCTCCAGGGCTGACTCAGGCTTTTTATCCAGACCCTCCTCCTGCTCTTCCAGGACAGCTGCTCTATCGAGGAGGAAGCGAGGCTCGGGAGGGGCCCAGGCCTCTGCAGGGTGTTAGGCTGTGGGCAGCCGCAAGGTGGGTTTCCCAGAGCCCCAGGCCTCCCCTTACTTACGGAACCTTTCTATTCTCTTCCTGATTTCTTTCCCACTGAGCCTGTCTGTCTCAGGGCCTCTTCTCCTGAGCTGTGGTATGTGGGCAGTGCAGGACGACCCTGGTCTGCGACAGCTGCTCTATCGAGGAGGAAGGGAGGCTCGGGAGGGGCCCAGGCCTCTGCAGGGTGTTGGGCTGTGGGCAGCCGCAAGGTGGGTTTCCCAGAGCCCCAGGCCTCCCCTTACTTATGGAACCTTTCTATTCTCTTCCTGATTTCTTTCCCACTGAGCCTGTCTGTCTCAGGGCCTCTTCTCCTGAGCTGTGGTATGTGGGCAGTGCAGGACAACCCTGGTCTGTTAGGGATCCTCCTAACAGGGTTTTGTTTTTTGTTGTTCCCAAAGAACTGTCTAGGGGTCCTCCTTTTGTCACACATATAATCATGCTTCTTTAGGCCTGAAGTTCCTGAGAACAGTTGTTAAAAGTAAAAGTTAAAAATGTAAAAGACTGAGCATCTTAAATGGCCCCTAAACCTATGGCAGGTCATGGCCTTTCCTCTGGCGGGTTTTGGGCACAGGTCTGAACTTGAGGGCACCTGCCTTCCCTGGTGAGGTGCCCAATGCCATGGCTGACACTGTCTGCACTCCCTGCCAGAAGGGTAACAAAGTAGAGCTGGGGTTGTTCCTTGGCCTGGCCCCCTGGAGGGGCCAGAGGTTCTCCGTGTGCAAGTACCTGGGTCCCTGAAGGAAACCCTCATGGCATGGTAGGAGGGCCTCAGTCACACCCGCCTCGGCGCAGCTAAAAAGGAAGTCGCTTTTTCCCCTGCCTTCTGGTGGACTGGGCAGTCAACACTTGTCATTCAGCCAAACCTGGTTAAAGGTCCCCGTGCCTGTGTGTGTCTGTGTGGAATAGATGGCCTACTGCCAGCACATTGGGGTGGAGTTCATGTTCATCAACGACCTGGAGCAGTGCCAGTGGATCCGGCAGAAGTTTGAGACCCCCGGGATCATGCAGTTCACGAATGAGGAGAAACGGACCCTGCTGGCCAGGCTTGTGCGGTCCACCAGGTACGAGTCTGGCCAGGGCCATGGAGCTGTGCTCCCAGGAAGCAGTGGCCCGGCCATGGTGTACATGCCTCTCTATGGGCCTCTCAGCTAGGGTTTGGGCGTGGGGTGGCAGTAGCTGCAGCTGCACACGTGGGAAAGGACAGCAGGCAAGAAGAGTCAGCCTCTGAATCCCTCTTATGTCATTTAGGAAAGTCTGACTTAAGGAGTAGCCCTAGTGACATTGCTCTCATAGTGGCTCGGCTCTCCATCCAGGTTTGAGGAGTTCCTGCAGCGGAAGTGGTCCTCCGAGAAGCGCTTTGGTCTGGAAGGCTGCGAGGTACTGATCCCTGCCCTCAAGACCATCATCGACAAGTCGAGTGAGAACGGAGTGGACTACGTGATCATGGGCATGCCACACAGGTACCACCTGTTTCTGCCATCCCTGTGGGGGCGTCCAAGGCTCAGGGTGAGCACTGTGAGCAAGCAGCCATTCCCTCCCCAAGGCCAGTCAGTGAGTCTAGGGCTCAGTGATACATAAGGGTGTCTTGCTTTCCAGGGGGGTCTTGCACCCCCTGCCTTGGGGAGACCAAGGCTACATGAGGTTTTAGACTAGTGTTGGGCCTTGCATTGCATTTTTATAAAAATTAAACCCATTGTGGCTGGCCGGTTAGCTCAGTTGGCTAAAGTGCAGCCTTATAACATGAAGGTCACGGGTTGAGATCCCCAGACCGGTCAGCCACACACACACAAAAAATCACCCCCAAAATTAAACCCAATGCCTTTGTCACAGTCTAACCTGGAGGGAAGCCTCCTCCCTGACCTTGGCAGGGGGCATAGCAGGGAGAGGAGGCCGTGGGCCAGTGGCATTTCTGCACTCTTGGCCCTTCTGCTGCCCGCTGGCAGATGGGGGCTTGGTGTCCACACCAACTTCTGGCAACAGCTGTTTGGCTGCAAACCAACCAGGTGCCGTGTGCTGGGGGACGGAAGGGGGTGACAGCAGCCTCCCTGCCATCTGCTGTCCTGGGGTCTGCTCACCCTGCTTGCCCTTTGTTCCAGGGGACGGCTGAATGTGCTTGCCAATGTCATCAGGAAGGAGCTGGAGCAGATTTTCTGTCAGTTTGATTCCAAGCTGGAGGCAGCCGATGAGGTGAGGTTCCCAAGATGTGCATATCCCGCACAGCCTCAAATCACATGAGACTTCAGCTCTGCTTGCCTCTGGGAACAACCTATCAGGCTTTCAGTTCTTCCTTACCATTTATAGTTTGCCTTTCTTGTTGGAAGAATTACAGCGTTGGAACAAACGAGGTGGCCAGTGGCTGACCTTGTCAGAGGCCTGGCAGTCCTACAGTCCTTGAAGCATAAGGATGTCCCTCTGGCCAAGGGACCTTTTTTGGGGTGGGAGTGATCCTGGGAAAAGTCCTCTCCATCCTTCTGCAGTGGGGTCCTGGGAATAGAAATCCCACGTGAAAGGGCTGTGGTGTAGAGTGAGCATCTCCCCAGCCAAGATTCAGACTCACTGTTTACACTGTCAGGGCTCTGGAGACGTGAAGTACCACCTGGGCATGTATCACCGGAGGATCAACCGAGTGACTGACAGGAACATCACCCTGTCTCTGGTGGCTAACCCTTCCCACCTTGAGGCCGCCGATCCCGTGGTGATGGGCAAGACCAAAGCTGAGCAGTTTTACTGTGGGGATACCGAAGGGAAAAAGGTAAGGGCCCTGGGAGAGGCTTGTGAGGCAGGTCTGTATAGCCCAATGGCTTAGCAAGGAGCTCCACTCACTTGGGCCACATTTCAGACGTCTTGTTTCTGGAGTTTAAAAAAATGTTCTATATGTCTTTGAAAGAGTAGCAATAGTAAAATAGACCTGCTTCAAATATGCTTTCTCCCAAAGTTGTGGTCACCAGCACTAGGTGGGGAGTTTGCTTCTGTCTTCACCACATCTGTGGAAGAGCCAGTCTGGCTGTGAGCATTGGTGCACGGAGGCGTCTTCACTGAAAAGGAGAGGCTTTGTAAGGAAAAAGTAGGGGGAAAACTGGAGGAGAAGCTGTCAAGCTGACAGACATGGGAGAGGTGGGCTCACTGCCATCGGGACAGGAGTTCATGGAACCTGAAAGAGGTGCAGGAGGGCGCAGGCTTCAGGTGTGGTGGCTCCTGCTTCCGCGTTTTCCCATTGTGTGACAGCGAGTGTTGAATGTGGGTTTGCCAGCCTGCCTGTGTACAGAAATCCTCAACAGGTTATAACTGCTTGCCCTTGTTTAACCTCAAGATAGAACTTTGTAACAAACTGCATAGTTTTTATTACCTAACGATCACCTACAAACTAAGGAATCAGAAAAGTCAAATATTGTAACATCCACTGTGTGCATCCTGGGGAACGTACAAAGTAGGCATAACCAGCCTACTCTCCAGGATCTCTTGTTCTCTTTAGAGAAAAGACCATAGGTAAGGAAGTTCATAGAGCACACACACTGTAATATAAAACTGCAAAGTTTACTGTAAATAACTTCAGAAGAGTGTACTGAAATGCAGGCTGGAGTTGGACAAGGAATAAAAGCCTGGTTCTTATCAGCAGAGCAGGTAGTTGTTGTGTGTAATTGGAGAAATGGCAGTATTTAGGTAGGTGGGAAGGGAACAATGTTCTCTGAAGACGAAAGAGAGGAGCACAGATGAAGAGGAGGTTGGGGACGCAGAGCAGGGAAGGGCCCACTTCCCAGGCATGCACGAGAGACAGGTCAGGTCTTTTTTAGAGGAGGAGCCTCGTATTAGTTTACTGTGTCTGTAATTTAAAATACTGTAAATCCACTGTAAATCTCTATTGTGTTTGGAGGATTAGAACAAGGGAAAGCACTTTCACAGGTAATGGAATCCCAGGCTGGGGACACATTGACAGCAGGAAGTGACCGCACGTCAGTGGACATTCAGTGTAAAGAATGTGTGTGACCCATGAGGACGCAGCATTCACTCCATGGCTCCAAGCTTAGGGGCCAGGATGGTGCTACAGAAACTCCAAGTAGACGCAAAGAGGCCTTGGTTCTGTTGGGGGATGTGCAGCCCCCGTAACCACTAATGACACTGGGGTGTCTGGGAGGGAAAATTGGGGTGGGGTCGGAGGGACAGCATGGGGGTGACCAGTCCTCTGGCATTTCGGACATCCTTGGCTAGGATGCTTGCTCAGGCATTTGGGGCTTAGTAGTGGAATGAGATCACAGAAAATTTGGGGTGATTGGTCATTCGTAAACTGTGGACAAAAATCCACTTGAGTAGTGCTCGTTCAGAATGCTGGAAATATCCCAAGAAGGAATGAACTATTTAGAGTAAAAGCGGTGGAACATATTTAAAACTCTTACAAATGGTCACACTAATTGGTCCATTTGTAAGATGCCAGGACAAGGGAGGCTGGCTCACCCCTGTTTGGTTGCAAATCTGCATGTAGCTGCATCAGAGCCATCAGTCCCCTTGTTTTGGGGGGTATCCTGTGCACACACACCATGTTGTCACAGTTGTCCTTGCCCCTGTGCAGGCAGCTGCCAGCCTCTCGAGGCCCGCAGCCCCTCTTGCTGAGCTGTCTCGTCACCTGCCCCAAGCCTCTCACGTCCTCAGTGGGGTCAACAGCAGTTTCACCTCCTGCCTGTTCTCCTTGCTACTCTTCTGACACCCCTCTGGAATGATTTGATTTCTGTTAAATCCAGACCTCAGGGAGCTGGAGTGTGTTACATAATCCTCAATGTTTGTGAAAAATGACATATTTTCCATGAATGCGGCTTAGGTCCTCCCATAATCTTGTGCATGATTGTGAATTTGACCCGATTTGGCTCAGTGCTAATGTGGCCTTTGGGATATTTGTCTGTGAAAGTGTTTCTCAGTGCAGTGGTGCGACCTACAGTGAAGGGAGAATTGGTGCCTGCCAGAGGTATGGGTCAGGCCGCCAGGGTCAAGGAGGTGCCCCATGTGTGCGAGGGGTGATTTCAGTTGCCAGTCACCTCCATGCAGACTGGCAGTGCTGGAGCACTATGACATCACCAGAAGACTGAGAAAAAGATGGCGAATGGGAGTGTCTCCATCAGCAGAAGACTGAAGTTATACAGAAAAGTATGTGCAGGAAGAAATAACACACTGTGGGGTTCAGGAAGAAATGAAGTGTCAGTGACTGAAAATCAGCAGCTTTTACACTCAACAGGGCATCACAGCAAAGCGGGCTTGTCCATTGTCCGACTGTCCTAGTGAGCATCCCCAATGTCTGTCAAAAGGGAGGACACATGTGGCTGTTGATAAATACTCTAGGTTTTGTTCCTGAACAGCAAATCATGGACATTCTCTTCCTGGCAAGTACTCAGCACAGTGCTGAGGACCAGAGCAGTGACAGGGACTTGAGGAGGCAGAGGTCCAGAGGCCGAGCACACCGTGTGAGAGGGTGTGAGGCTTCGTGTTGTATGTCCCCTTGGCTGGCTGCAGTGCCCAGTTGTTTAGTCAAACACCCATCCAAATGTTGCTGTGAAGGCATTTTTAGGTGAGGTGAACACTTAAACCAGTGGGCTTTGAGTAAAACAGATGACCCTCCTTAGTGTGGGTAGACCTCATCTGACTAGTTCAAAGCCTTTGAAAAAAGACTCAGATCCCCAGAGAAGAAGGAATGCTGCCTCCAGACGGCCTTCGGACTTGCACTGTGACATCAGCTCCTCCCTGGGTCTTCAGCCAGCCCGCCTGCCCTGCAGAATTTGAACTTGCCAGCCCAATTCCTTAAAAGCAATCAATCAATCCCTCTCTTCATCTCCCCCATCCCCAACCTGATTGGTTCTGTTTCTCTGGAGAATCCTGACTAATGCAAGGGGGTTGGAGAGGCGTAGGCTGTGTATCCAAGGAGTAGAGGTGGTGGGTCTGCATGTCGGGGGCATTGGGGACACTGAGCAAGTAGGTAAACAGGTTGTAGGCCATGAGAACGAAGTGCATCACAGCTGTAGGAGATATTTATAGAGGTGGATGGAGGCGGATTAGAAACAAGTGTTGGACTGGAATTTGGATGTATCGGTATGAGCTCATAGTTTTATTATATATACACGCAGATACAGAAATAGCCGCGTGTGTGTGTGTGCACGTGCATGAGCAGCCGTACATTCCACTCTGTGCTGAAAGGGCCTAGAAGTGAGGGTGTTCTAGTGGCAGTGAGCACACATATCCCAGCCTCTGTTGGAAGAACCAGGCTTCTTAGAGAAAGGACTGGTTCCAGGGCTGGCAGGGACAGCACAGCATGAGGCCACAATGCTCGTTGGCCAGAAAGCAAGGAGGTGGTGGGGACCCATCCAGAGGACACAGGAACTGGCTGGGAGGGGTTCCCACACCACATCTGAAACAGCCTGAGCATCAAAATATCTAATGACACTGACCAGTTACATACAATCTATCAAATAGAAACCATCAGTACATATTAATGCAAATATATAAGGGGGGAGAAGAGAAAGCTCTTCCTTGCAGAGGACACCAATTAGTAAATGTGGGAGTAATGGAAATCGGTGGTCGCCATTTGTCACCACCTGAGGGGCTGGTTCTGGCACAGTTGTCTGTCATGCTGCTGAGGCTGGGGTGGAGGTTTGAGGAGGAGCATGGTGTGAAGTTTCTCCTCACAAAATACCACCACCGTCCTTGTTGCCAAGGAGAAAATGGTGAGTTAAAGGGAGAACAGTAGACAGCAGCTTGTCCAGGTGCGCAGACTTAACCTCGCCTGATGTGGGCATCCTTCCCAAATGGGTGCCCAGGCCTGTGAAGGCTGCAGAAACGGGGACAAGGCTCCAGAGCCACAGCAGCTGCTGCAGCCCAGAGCACGCGGGCTATGGGCTGGATGGCTGCTCTCCTGGATGGAGGGTCTGGGGGATATGCAGGAGGACGTCCTGTGCTGGCAGGCTGAGGGACAATGGTGGTAGGGCGGCCGGGTGTGGGTGTGGAGCAGGTGCACCAAGGTGTCAGCAAGTTGGGGTCGAGGAGAAGGGGCTTTCTACTCCTGCCACATTCTAAGTTCGAAATTATCATAAAACAAGTTTGTTTTTTTAAATTATGTCTCATTTCCTCTGTTTGCCTTATGGATTTGGTGACTGGCGTATGCTGGATTTGGGGTCTCCTTTGGTGTCTGCAGGTCATGTCCATCCTACTGCATGGGGATGCTGCCTTTGCCGGCCAGGGCATTGTGTACGAGACCTTCCATCTCAGCGACCTGCCATCCTACACGACTCACGGCACTGTGCACGTGGTTGTCAACAATCAGGTACCTCGCAGGGCTTCCGCGGTGGTTCCCCCAGCCTTGGGGTTCTGGTCAGACTGTCTCCTGAGGGTTCGCTGCTCACACCAGTTTTACTTAGAATGACATCTTTTAGTCATTTGGAACATTCATTGTTTCATGATTATGAAAAAAAAATTACTAAAAATTTGGACTACACAGAAAACTATTTTTTAATTTTTAATTATTATTATTTTTTAGTTACTCCCCTTTTTTGTGGCAAGAGCAGCTAAAATCTACTCTTTTAGCAACAATCCAAAATAATACAATATTATTAACTACAGTCCTCATGTTGCACATTAAATCTTTAAAATTTATTAAGCTTGACAGATTTTATACGTATTTATATTGTTCAAAACAACTAAGTAGGCCGGCCCGGTTTTGCACTGCTACAGTGCGCCGCTTGGGAGCGCGGCAGCGCTCCCGCCGAGGGTTTGGATCCCACGTACAGACCAGCCGCTCACTGGCTGAGCGAGGTGCAGGAGCAACACCGAGGGTTGCGATCCTGTTGCCGGTCCCGGTCCGGTACGGGCGCGACACTGAGGGTTGCGGTCCGTTGCCGGTCACGAAAAAAGACAAAAAGAAAAAAAAAAAAGAGCAACTAAATAGAATTACCATTTTCTATTTGCTAATTCATTGATGTTTTTTTAAATTGTGATAAAATAACATAAAATTTAGCATTTTAACCTTTTTTGTTCGGGGCTGCTAGCCAGAATGGGGATCTGAACCCTTGACCTTGGTTTTATAATAGCATTTTAACCATTTCAAAGTGGTTAATGGCATTTTGGTATATTCACAATGTTGTATAACCACCACCTCTATCTGCTTCCAAGACATTGTCATCATCCTAAAGGAAACCCCATAAGTATTAAGTGTTGCTCCCCCCAGCCCCCGGCACCCACTAATATACTTTCTGTGTCATGTATTTTCCTGCTCAGAATATCATGTAATAGAATCATATACTACGTGGCCTTTTGTGTCGAAAACTGTTTTTTTAGAGTGGAGATATTTTAATTACATTATTTAAGATGGTGTTATTGTTTTAGAATATTTTCTTCTACACCCACAAGCATACAGGTGGCTGTTATCTTTTTTTAAGAAACTTTAGTTCTATATACACAGCTTCATATCCATTTTTATTTACTACATTATTTGCTTGTGTCATTACATACTCTTAAAATAATCATTTTAATGGAAATTTACATTACAGGTTGTTTTACATAGGAGGCTTTTAGGATTCTCATTTTTCTGCAATGAGCATTCTCATAATGCTGCAATGAACATTCTGTTTCCACCACCCCTGTTACATATCACCTGTTAATGTCCTCCTACCAGCTGTATCAAAGGGTGCATTTCACCAGCGCCTGTAGACTTGCTATAACAAATATTGAGTGCTTTTTAAGTACAGGCACTGTGCTAGGTTCCAGGCAGTGCAGGCGCATGCTTCCCAGCATCGTGGATCTTGGCATTGAGTGTAGTTTGGGGACTCATCAGCAAAGCCTGAAGGAAAAGGAGAGCAGGAGGTAGTCCATGAGGTGTTGGGTTAGTCAGCTAATGATCCTCCAAGGAGCTGACATTTAACTGGAGGCTTAAAGGTCAAGAGGCAAATGTTGAGGAGCAGAGGATCGAGGCAGGAAAGAGGTCCTGGTGTCCAAGGGAGTGAACAAAGGCCATCACAGCTAGTGGTTAGTGTGTGAGAGCTCCCATGAGCTAGTTCCTACTGAAAGCCCCAGTCCAGTTGCATTGGGAAGCCACCAGAGTGACTGTCTCAAGAAGTGACAAGATACTGGTTGATTATGAAGGTGTTGTGTTGCTACATGCAGAATGAATTAGATGGGGACAAAGAAATAGATGCAGCTGTCCCAGTAAGAAGTAGAGAGGGAGAAGGGAAGATTTTAAAATGAAATAAATATCCTTGTTAGTATAGTGCTGAGTAAAAATAAATAAATAAATGTGGTCACTACAAAGTAAACACTAAAGAGCTCAAAATTTAAAAGGTCAGATACTAAAAGAGGGGAAGAACATTGTCATATGGGACTATAACACACAATGTAGTAAAAGCCACCACTTACTGAGTGCCTTCTGTGTGCCAGACACTGAATTAGACCCTTCATATATTTTAACTTCATCCGCAGGGTTGTTACCCATGCAGTGGGTGGTATTATCCTGTTTCACAGAAGAGGAAATTGAGGAGCAGAGAGATTGAATAGCTTGCTTTTGAGGTAGATGATACAGCCAGTAATTGATCTGCTTTCCTTCAAGGAATGGTTAGGAAGTCTTGAAAAAAAAGAGAGAGATCTAAAAAACAAAAAACCCCAGTATTGACTGTATTTTTTTTTTTTCCAATTTCTAAGTGTGCAGGTCAATGTTGTGCAATCAGCGTCCATCTCCTAAACCTTTTCATATTCCTGAACAGAATCTTCATACCCCCTTAAACTCTCACTCCCCATTCCTGCCTCCCCCAACCCCTGGCAACCAGCGTTCTCCTTTCTGTCTCTGTAAATTTGACTAGTCCAGTACCTCATGTAAGTGGAATCATATGTTACTTGTCTTTCTGTAACTGTTCTATTTCACTCTGCACAGTGTTCCCAAGGTCCCATCCGTGTTGTAGCAGGTGTCAGCATGAGGAAGTTCCCTTCTGTTCCTAATTTGTGGACAGTATTCACCATGAATGGATGTTGGTTTTTGTCAAATGCTTTTCTGCATCTATCTAGATGATCATATGGTTTTCTAATGGTGAAGTACATGGATTGATTTTCAGATGTGGAATTCTTATGTCTGTGTTCATGAGGGGTGTTGGTCTGTAGTTTTCTTTTCTTGTAATGTCTTTGTCTGGTTTTGGTATCAGGGTAGTGCTAGCCTAGTAGAATGTTAGGAAGTGTTCCCTCCTCTCATATTTTCTGGATGAGTTTGTGTAGAATCAGTATCATTTCCTCCATAAATACTAGGTAGAACTCACCAGTGAAAGACTTCTGGCCTTAGAATTTTCTTTGTGGAAAGGCTGTTTTTTTTTCCTTTGTCTTTAATTTTAGAAGTTTGACTATGATGTGTCTTGGAGTGGATTTCTTTGGGTTTGGGATTTCTCAGCTTTTTCTTTTTTAATTTTTAAACATTTTTCAATAGCTTTACTGAGATACAGTTCACATACCATATAATTTACCCATTTAAAAAGTCTGCAATTAAGTGGTTTTTAGTATATTCACAGATGTGTATAACTTACCATGGCCATTTTCAGAACCTTTTCATCACCTCAAGAAGAAACCCTATATCTTTCAGTTATCACACTCCTTTTCCCACAGCCCCCGTGTGCAAGGCCCCCCCCCCCCCCAAGCTCTAAACAACCACTGAACTACTTACTTTCTGTCTCTATAGATTTACCTATTCTGGACATTTCATATTAATTGAATCATATGATGTGTGGTCCTTCATGACTAGCTTCTTTTCACTTAGCTGTTTTCAAGATTCATTCATGTTGTACCATATCAGGACTTAATCACGTTTTTATTGCTGCACAATATTCTATTGTATGGCTAGACCACCTTTTATTTACCCATTTATCAGTTGATGGACATTTAAGTTGTTTCTACTTTTTGGCTATTATAAATAATCCTGCTGTGAAGAACATTTGTGTACATGTTTTCATTTCTTTGGGGTATATACCTATGCATGTAATTGCTGGGTGCTATGGTGTCTCTATGTTTAACTTTTTGAGGAACTGCCAGGCTGTTTTTTCAAAGTGGCTGCTCCATTCATTTCACATTCCCACCAGAAGTAGACAAGGGCTCCGATTTTTCCACATCTTCACCAACACTTGTTATTGTCTATCTTTTTAATTTTAGTCATCCTAGTAGGTGGGAGGTGGTATCTCATTGTGGTTTTAGTTGTATTTCCCTAATGGCTAATGGTCTTGAACAACTTTTCATGTGTTTACTGGCCATTTGTTTATCTTCTTTGAGGAAATTTCTCTTCAGATCCTTTGCCCATTTTTTGTTCAGGTTGAGTTGTAAGAGTTCTTCATATATTCTGGATATAAGCCCTTTATCAGATATGTAATTTGCAAATATTTTCTCCCATTTTATGGTATGTTTTTGGTGTCCTTTGAAGCACAAAAGTTTTTATTTTTTATCAAGTCCAAGTTGCCTGTTTTTTCTTTTGTTGCTTGTGCTTTTGATGTCATATCTAATAAGAAAGCTTTGCCTAACCCAAGGTCGCAAACATTTATTCCTATTTCTTCTAAGAGCTTTATAGTTTTAGCTTTTACCTCTATCATCCATTTGAGTTATTTTTTTATGTATTGTGCAAGGAAGAGGCCCAACTTTATGAGTTGTCCCACGACCATTTGCAGAAAATTCCCTTATTGAATTGATTTGCCCTTACTTAGCTTTTTGGTTTTTTTTTTTTTTTTTCCTTTTAGTCTTTTTTTTTACTGACCGGTAATGGGATCGCAACCCTCGGTGTCGCGCCTGTACCGGGGACCGGCAACGGGATCGCAACCCTCGGCGCCGCGCCCGCACCGCGCTCAGCCAGTGAGCGGGAACCGGTCTTCACATGGGATCCGAACCCTCGGCGGGAGCGCCGCACTCCCAAGCAGCGCACTCTCCAGCGCGCCACCGGGCCGGCCCCTTACTTAGCTTTTTGAATTTGTAGATTTATGTCTTCTGACAAATGTGGAAACTTTTCAAACATCTGTTATTTCAGCCATTACCATTGACCCTTGAACAACTCAAGGGTTAGGGGTGCTGAAGCCCCCATGCAGTTGAAAATCCGAACATAACTTTTGACTCCGAACATAACTACTTAAGTACATTGTGAGCTTTCCCCTGAGCCCTATGGGGGACTCTGAATCCTTACTTAAGTAGTAATTAAGTAGTTAGTTACTTAACTACTACTAGCCTATTGTTAGGTAGGTTACTTAACTATTTGGTTAGGTATATTATGCACTCATGACATATACCTAACCAAAAATTTTTCAATATATTTATTGAAGAAAAATCTGCCTGTAAGTGTACTCATGCAGCTCAAACCTGCAGTTCAAACCCATTTCATTCAGGGGTTCACTGTATTTATTCAGTCCCACCCTCTTTCTCCCCTCCTTCCAGGACTAATGACGAGAATGTTAGGTCTTTTGGTGTAGTCCCACAGGGCCCTGAGGCTCTGTTCATTTTATTTTTTCAGGCTGTTTTATCTCCATTTTTCAGATTGGGTCATTTCTGTTGTTCCACTTTTAAGTTCCTGATCCTCTCTCCCCTCCATTCTGCTATAGAGCATCTCCATTGATTTTTTTCTAACATAAGTGGTACTGCATCCAAGATGCGTGTCTCAGGATGGCACAGTGTCTATCTGGAAGCTAGCCTACAAGGAATGACTGAGGAAGCAGGGCATGTGTAGTCTAGGAGATAAAAGACACCTGGAAAGCATGAGAACTGTTTTCAAATATCATTAATTCCTGTAGCAAAGAATATAATGGACAGAGGCAGCACGAGTGGATGGCAATTACCAAGAAGCAGATTGCAGGTGAATGAAAGGAGGAACTTCGAACAATCAGACCTGTTCCAGCAGGAAAACCGGCTCCTCCAGAAGTTGTAGGTTCCTTCTCCTTGGAAGTGTTGGGGCAACTAGTGAATAAGTTGTCAGAGTTGAAGTAGATATGGCCTCAGCCAGGAATGAGAGGGTAAACCATCTGGGTCTAGGGTCCCTTCAGCTCCCAGACTGGCAGTTCCACTTAGCAGGATTTTCCTTCTAGTACACTCACTCCCACAAGTATACTAAGTGTTATTAATGTACCTATACATTAATATACATAGTGGGGAAAAGAGTACAGAGCAGTATTCAGAGTATACCCCCATCTCCTTGTGTGTGTGCACACCCACCCATGTAGACACCTGTGCCAGTAGAGTATACCTCTGTCATCTGTGTGTGTGTGTGTGCATGCGCGCACCCACCCATATAAACACCTGTGCTTGTAGAGTATACCTCCATCCATGTGTGTGTTCCCCTGCCCAAATGCACTTGAAGACACAGAAGCTGTAACAGTGGATATCGGGGAGGACAACTGGGTTTTGAGGCCTCCACCTTTCAAAACTGTTTCCTTTCTATGAGGTCTAGATGCAAGGTGTATTACAATCACTAACGTTCCTGTTTCCCTTCTTTTCCTAAATGGTGAGACCCAAAAGGGCCACTCTGGCTCCAGTACCAGCCGAGATTGTTCTCAGCTCTCTTAAGTGTCAGACTATCCCTAGTCCATCATTTTAATGTTCTTATCAGTGTCTATTTCTATCCTTTATTCAGTGTGAGAAGGGAGATTACTTAAAAGAAATTTAACATAAATGTAGAATTTTTTTTTTTTTTTTTAAAGATGACTGGTAAGGGGATCTTAACCCTTGACCTGGTGTTGTCAGCACCACGCTCTCCCAAGTGAGCTAACTGGCCATCCCTATATAGGGATCTGAACCCGTGGCCTTGGTGTTATCAGCACCACATTCTCCCAAGTGAGCCACGGGCCGGTACTTCAGTATAGAATTCGTAGACCTCTTGAAGGACCACAGTTTTGCTAGTATTTTCTTTTTCTCTTTACCGCTTTGGCTCATTGCTCATGAGGTGGTGAGGGAACAGTAAGATCTGTAGCAGGACAGGAAGTGGCTGCTTTGCTGATGTTTCTCTACAAACATACCTAGAAACTCCCCTTCTAGAAACCTCTCCTAAGGAAGCCATCAGATGCTAAATACTTTTGTATAATAATGTTTGTCGGGGCCGGCCCGGTGGCGCACTGGATGAGTGCGCCGCTTGGGAAGCGCGGCGGCGCTCCCGCCCGAGGGTTCGGATCCCACATACAGACCGGTTCCTGCTCACTGGCTGAGCGAGGCGCAGGAGCAGCACCGAGGGTTGCGATCCCGTTGCCAGTCCCCGGTCCGGTACGGGGGCAACACTGAGGGTTGCGATCCGTTGCCGGACACGGAAAAAGACAAAAAGACAAAAAATAAATAAAAAATAAAAAAAAAATAATGTTTGTCAAAACCGTATTTTTACTACCATAAAATTAGGAAATAAGCTATATGTCCAGCAACAGAAGAGTCTTGGCATACAATTTGGCAAAGCCATAGGAAGGGGTATTATATCACCATTAAAATGTTTAATATCCTGGGGAAATATTCACAATATGGTAAATGGAAATGCAGGATATTCACATGCTGCTTGTAGAAGTATATGTGGAATAGTCACTCTGGACAGCAAGTTGATAGTATTTAGAAAAATTTACTGTGCTTGTGCCTCTGGCTCAGTTTTCTCTTCCTAGGAGCAGACTGCAAGTAAACTCCCCATATAAGCTTGCGTGCAGCTACATTGTTTGTGTTAACCACAAATTTGAAACACTACAAATTGTCTACCAGTGGGAGAATGGATAAATACACTGTGGTATATACTATTTAGTAGTTAAATTTTACTGCTAAGCTCTACTAAAGGAAGTAGAGTTACAAATTTCAACCTGGATGAATCATAAAAAAAAACTTTGAACAAAAAGCAAGTTACAAAGGATTTGTACAGTGTATAGAGTATGCTACCATGTATAAGAAACATAGAGCGTTTATCTGTGTGGTTGAAAAACTTGAAAGTACTCTTCAAAAATGTCAATACTGTGAAAAACCGAGGAAGGCAGAGGAGCTTTCCAGATTAACAGGAACTAGAGAGACGTGACCACTAAATGCAGGGAGGTGTCCTGGTCTGCCGACATTATCGAGTTATTGGGACACAGTGGGTGGAATGTGGGTGTGGATTCTGGACTAGAGACAGTGGTGTCACGTAACAGATTGCTTGAGGCTGCATGCTGTACTCTGGCAGGGTGAGGGAATGTCCTTGTTCCCAGGAAATAGAGATGGTCACTACTACTGATTCCTGAATGTTTCACATCAAAGGCATGCATGTATGTGTGTGATGGAAAGAGCTCGGATAACAAAGTGAAGGGAAGGGCGAAGGGCGTGAAGTGTAAACAATTGGTGAATCTAGGTGAAGACTGTGGGAGTTCTTTGTAGTATCCTTTTAACTTTTTCACAGGTTTGAAATTACATCAAAATTTGAAAGGTAACAACAAGCCTAAGAAGATACCATGTGCTGATTATGGACACATAAAATACAAATAGCAACTCGTGGCAACATCCTCCTCTGATTTCAGGGTAGGGAGGCCTGTGGGCTTGGCCTCCAGCTGATGAAACTGTTAAGATTTCTTCACATTGGGTGATGGGTTTATGGGTGATCAATGTAGTATTATCATACTTTATATTTGAAATATTTCGTACAAATAAAATTTTAAATGCAGGTTATAAAATTATGAATACACGTTTAAATTTTAGTACATCTTAGTGGTGGGAAGTCTTATGAAGCCTTTAAATTTTCTTTTCAAAGAAAAAGTGGGGGCCGGCCCGGTGGCGCACTGCTACAGTGCGCCGCTTGGGAGTGTGGTGGCGCTCCCGCCGAGGGTTCGGATCCCACATACAGACCGGTTCCCGCTCACTGGCTGAGCGAGGTGCGGGAGCAACACCAAGGGTTGCGATCCCGTTGCCGGTCCCGGTCCCGGTCCGGTACGGGGGCGACACTAAGGGTTGCGATCCGTTGCCGGACACGGAAAAAGACAAAAAGGAAAAAAAAAAAAGTGCTCATGTTATATGAATAAAGTGCAAAATTATAGAAATAAGATCCCAAATTTTAAATAAATATATGTACACACACACACACATATTTACATATATATGCATCCAAAGAAAATAATCTGGAAAGGAAAACATCAAAATATTTACATTGTAGCCTGTGGAATTATAGGTAACTGTTTAACTTTTTATATTGTGTATCTCTTCCAAATTCCTTATGTTGAGCATATGAATTTTATCAGAACAGGAAAAAAAAAAAACTTAAAAACAAGAAACCTAAACAACCATTTGGGGAGCACTCTCCCAGAGCAGCCAAGCAGCAAGCATAGGCTGTGCCCCCTGCCCCTGGGCCCAGTGCTGGCCATGCTGGGTGCCCCCTTGCCAGGCTGCATGTTCCTTGCAGATCGGCTTCACCACAGACCCGCGGATGGCCCGCTCCTCCCCCTACCCCACCGACGTGGCCCGCGTGGTGAATGCCCCCATTTTCCACGTGAACTCAGACGACCCTGAGGCTGTCATGTACGTGTGCAAGGTGGCAGCTGAGTGGAGGAGCACCTTCCACAAGGACGTGGTTGTCGATTTGGTGAGTGACTCCAAAGACAGCACATCCCAGGCACAATGTCTGGCCCACCCTCTTGCCCTCACACCCCTGCGTCCCAAGGAGAAGGGCATGGCTTGGTGCATTACCTTGGGGCTCTCTAGTCCCAGACCGCATATAGGCTCCTCCTAACTCCGGAGCATTCAAGCCCAGGTGCAGTCATGAATCCCCCCAGGCAGGAGCTGCAGTGGTGAAGAGGACCATTGATGGGCTCGTTTGGTCCTGTTGTGGGACAACTCTGTGAATAAAGAGTTTGTATTCCCTAGTCACTCTCATGTTCTCATTTGATAAGTCAGAGTAACTCTGCTGTGTAAAGGAGAGAGAGAGGATCCTAATTCTAGAGAAGATAAACTGAGGCAGAGCAGATGTGAGGTATGTTAGCATCACATAGAGATGGGGCAGGTGCTTCCTTCCCGAGCAGCCAACCGTGATCTCTGATGTCCTCTATTGCCACTCTGACCAGGTGTGTTACCGGCGCAATGGCCACAATGAGATGGATGAGCCCATGTTCACGCAGCCGCTCATGTACAAGCAGATCCGCAAGCAGAAGCCCGTGCTGCAGAAGTACGCAGAGCTGCTAGTGTCCCAGGGCGTGGTCAACCAGCCTGAGTATGAGGTGTGTCCCCATGGCTCCATGCCAGCGGGTCTTTCCGGGGCTGGGGAGGACTGGCGAAGGCCAGCCACAGGGCCGGTTCTTGCTTTTGCAGAGTGAGGAGGATCCAAATGAAAGCTTGTGAGATATTTACAATTACAGTATTTCAATGTATACCTTCTTGGAGGGTCTGGGCTACTGAGCTGCTTTGTAAAGGAGGTGGGCCTTAAGTAGTGTTTTGGGAGAGGGAAAAGGCATGTTTTGGAGACAAGGTAGTGGCTACTTAGTTGGTTTTCTCAGTTAAAGCAGATTGTGCAAGGGTGAGAAGTGGATAAAGCATCTAGCTTGGTAAAGGGCCGGGTGTAATCTGGATAGTAAGTTCTGGTTGGGTGTGAGTGAGAAGGCCCAAGCAGGGGCTGGGGTTGGGGGGGTACAAGGAGCTGTGTCTGAAGCATGGGAACCAGACAGGGCCCAAGAGGACAGCTGCTGGAGATGGAGCTTTGGGGCCCAGCCTCCTCAGGGGTGTGCTAGGAACCAAGAGCACTGTGCCAGGTCTTAAGAAAGGGCATGGCAGTGGGGGCCGGGGTGCAGGGGCAGGGACTCAAACTCTGAGCAGGATCTCCAGCCAGCAAATGTGGGGAAGAAACTATTGGGAGTGAAAAGACAAATATTTTTTTGTAGGCTTCTCACAAATCTTAGAAAGGTCAGGTGTTTTAGCGAGGAGTAGTGTTGGAGCCAGTGGAGTCTGAGCTGTGTGGGGAAGTATGGGGCTGGGGTGGGTGGTGTGGCAGGGTGTACTCTGCCCGTGACTGCCACAGCGGTGTTGTGCTCAAACCTCCAGGAGGAAATCTCCAAGTACGATAAGATCTGTGAGGAAGCTTTCGCCAGATCTAAAGACGAGAAGATCCTGCACATCAAACACTGGCTGGACTCCCCCTGGCCTGGTGAGTGAGGGGCTGGTGCCACAGATGAACTCCTTTGTGAATCGGATGTGGCCGTGAGCCCTGCTCCCCGCTCTGCCCCCACAGCACACAGTCATGTGCACCATTTCAGCAAAGCCCCCTGTGAACCCTCAACTCAACCCCTGGACCAGTGCTCTCTTGGGAGCATGGTCCTTTTGCACCGTTTCACGTGTGTGCCACAATCCTGAAAGAGTACAGCGGTTTCTGGGACCTGTTCCACAATGTCCTTTCCCAAAGCAGGTGCTGCACCTCAGCTGTCCTTCCTCTCCTAGGCTTCTTCACCCTGGATGGGCAGCCCAGGAGCATGTCCTGCCCCTCCACAGGCCTGACTGAGGATGTCCTGACGCACATCGGCAACGTGGCCAGCTCCGTGCCCGTGGAGGACTTCACCATTCACGGAGGTAAGGTGTCACTCGCCTACGGGAATGCTGGGCCCCAGCCAGCAACTTCCCCACCCTGCCCACGTCAGTGGGGTGGTTGGGCGGGACCTCCCACAGCACAGTCCCTCGCTTGCTAAGTAGTAAAGGAGAGATTGAGAGGTCACAGCTCTTCCAGTGAGTCAGGAAACTGCAGGCAACGGGTGCAATAGGCTCTTCTTATTAGCACTGGGAGCGAGGCGGCCAGGCCTATGGCACCTGATAATCACAAATCTCTGCAGGGCTGAGCAGGATCTTAAAAACTCGCGGAGAGCTGGTGAAGAACCGGACTGTGGACTGGGCTCTGGCTGAGTATATGGCATTTGGCTCTCTCCTGAAGGAAGGCATACACATCCGGCTGAGTGGCCAGGACGTGGAGCGGGGCACGTTCAGGTACTGTTCTGGGTGCCTCTGTTCCCCTTCCAAAGAGTGGGAGGCAGAAAGGGAGGGGTTCTGGTGTGTATTTGCCAGAAGAAAATGACTTCCAGAAAACAGTTACCCAGTCCCATTTGCCTTAGGCTAAAGGCACCATCCCCTTATTTGCTTTGAACCTTCTGTTAGGGCTGGGGGTGCGAGCTCTGCAGCCACCTGGGGGGAGTCCGGGCTGCAGCATGTGGGGTCTGCTGGTGCTGTCGGGTCCACAGCACATCAGCCTGTCAGGTCAGAGCTTCTAGTTATTGTCCCTGCTGTTCACCTCAGCCACCGCCACCACGTACTCCACGACCAGAATGTGGATAAGAGAACCTGCATCCCCATGAACCACCTCTGGCCCAATCAGGCACCCTACACCGTGTGTAACAGCTCGCTGTCAGAGTATGGCGTCCTGGGTAAGTGCCCTGTACCCTTGAGACCCCCACACATCCTCCAGCTGGGGTTCTGATGCAGTATTCTCTCTCCTCCTTCTCTCACAGGCTTTGAGCTGGGCTTTGCCATGGCCAGCCCCAATGCCCTGGTCCTCTGGGAGGCCCAGTTTGGCGATTTCCACAACACAGCTCAGTGCATCATCGACCAATTCATCTGCCCAGGGCAGGCCAAGTGGGTGCGGCAGAATGGCATTGTGCTGCTGCTGCCTCATGGCATGGAGGGCATGGTGAGCCCGTGGCCCCTGCAGACCTAGGACAGCAGAGGGCCTTCCTGAGACCCCAACCCCAAAGGCCGGCACCAGCCTCCCGAGGCCCTGCCTGTGCTTCCCACCCATCTGGATGTGGCCAGCATGCCTGTCCCTTTCCCATCCTCCCCACTCTGGACAAGAAGCAGGGGGTGATGATGCAGACCACTGAGAGACCACCTAGACACACAGACGTCCATGGGACATTCAGTACCTGTTGCCAGCAGCTCAGCCTGCTTGCCCCGCCACACCCTGTTTGGTGCTGTCCTACCACACAAGCCCCCATGTGACACAGTCTTAAAACTCAGATGTGGAAATGATGAGGAGCCAGGCAGTTTGCAGAGGGGAGGGGAAGGAATTGAACTCTGCCATCAGGAGAAAAGATGACCAGGAAGGAGCAAGTAGACTAAGGAAGAGTGGTGCAGAGAGAGCAAACGTATGGGCCTGAACACCCACACTGCCTCATGTGTCTGATTCCAGGGTCCAGAGCATTCCTCCGCCCGCCCAGAGCGGTTCCTGCAGATGTGCAACGATGACCCAGACGTCCTGCCAGTGAGTGGAGCAGATCCTGCCTGCCCCCATCCTGGCCACCCCCAGGGCATCTGCCAGGGACCGTGGGGAGGAACGTCCACTTGGACATCCTGAGGCATCAGACCTCAGTGTTGCCCCTTCCTCTAGCTCGGGAGCTGGAATGGGTGTCTCCCCAAAATGAGAGGCTTCCTCAGAGCCCAGGAGAAAGAAAGCACGGGGACCACTTGCACTCCCTGCCCCTGCGGCTGAAAGCACAGACGCTCTGCGGGAGCCATCAGCATGAGCTCCAGGCACGCTGTCTCTGCTCGGACTCACAGACTCCTAGGGGAGAGGACTTTGGGGTGATTTCAGTGAAACTCTAAGAGCTCGTAGGAAACTATTGGGAGTCAGTTTCTTTGGGTGGAAGCAGCTTTCAGAGAAATAGGATGGATGAAGCAGGACTAAGATCTAGGGTGTGAGGCTGGCAGCTGAGCCTGCTGGACTTGCTCTCCTTAGTGTCCACTCGTGTCTCCAGGTGAGTTGGGCACCTGAGGATGGGGCTGTGGAGCCTCCTGAGGCTTCCTGCCCCCAGACGCTTCACATGGCAGAAGGCTCAGTGCTGCCTCCGGCCATGTCGTTCCTTCCTTGCAGGACCTCACGGAAGCCAACTTTGACATCAATCAGCTGTACGACTGCAACTGGGTTGTTGTCAACTGCTCCACCCCTGGCAACTTCTTCCATGTGCTGCGACGCCAGATCCTGCTGCCCTTCCGAAAGCCGGTCAGTGGTGGGGTCCCCCTTGCTCAGGCAAGGCCTGGCCTGAGGATGAGCCCAGGGCCCTAGCCCTGCTATGCTGGTTCAGGGAAGGGCTCTTCTGAGCACCTCTTGCTTGGGATTGGCTAGGTGGCAACTGCAAGGGGGATGTGGACAAGACACCTCGTCAGGGTGCCCCTACCCCATACACAGTGCTGCCGCCAGAGGACCACATGTCCTCTTTGCCCAAGCTGGGTCCTCCCATGCTACAGAGTTGTCAGAGCTGGGAAGGATGACATGTGAGCAGGTGGTCATTGGGGGTGCTGAGCTCTGGAAGAGAGGGGAGCCCTGGCAGGGTCCTAGGGAGTGCAAGGTCCCCAGGAAGCAGCCCCTGAGCTGGGTGTGGAAGGGTGAGTAGGAACTCGGTGGACAGACGAGTGGGAAAAGTGATCCAGCAGGAGGAAGTGTGGGGAGGGCATAGGGAGAACACCCTTCTGCCCTGGGATGCTGGGGGGGGCGTGCGGGAGGCAGGCCTCAGAGCAGGCCAGGACAGGGCCGAAGGGAGTGGACGCCCAGCCAAGGGAGGCGGACAGCGGGGAAATTGGTCATCTTTTTTTCTCCTCTGCTTCTTCTTCTTTTTTTTTTTTTTAAAAAAAAGATGACCAGTAAGGGGATCTTAACCCTTGACTTGGTGTTGTCAGCACCACGCTCTCCCAACTGAGCTAGCCGGCCATTCCTATATAGGGATCTGAACCCGTGGCCTTGGTATTATCAGCACCGCACTCTCCCAAGTGAGCCACGGGCTGGCCCTTCTCTGCTGCTTCTGATGTGAGTCTTCCATCGAGAGCTGGGAGGACAGGTGGCCATGTTCCCTATCCTGAAGGTTGAGGCATGGGCAGCCCCTCACTTTTGACCTTCCTTCTGGAATCTAAAACCCGGTCCCTGGGTTCTGGTCAGTTAGCTCACTCGGTAGAGTGTGGTACGATAACAGCAAGGTTATGGGGTTTGGATCCCCATGCTGGCCACCCACCAAAAAATAAATAAATAAATAAAATCACCTGGCAGGAATACATCAACATGTAAATGTTTTTTCAAAATAAAATAAATGAATAAAACCCGGTCCATCACGAGCTATTGTTCTGTATTTCAGTTAATCATCTTCACTCCAAAGTCCCTGCTGCGCCACCCTGAGGCCAGAACCAGCTTTGACGAGATGCTTCCAGGTTGGTGTGCAGGAGATCCTTGGGGGGTTGGTAGGTTTGGGGGTTCTTTGCTACTGCTCTACGGGGCTTGTGGGGCTTATGTTTATGGATTTTACTGTGACTCTTGCCACACTTTTTTTTGTTGTTGTTGTTGGCTGGCTGGTACAGGGATCGAACCTGGACCTTGGTGTTAACAGCACCACACTCTAACCAACTGAGCGAACCCACCAGCCATTCTTGCTACATTTTTGGTCTCAGGGTAAAGACTGATGATAACAGATGTGGAAATCACAGCTTGCATGTGAGTTAGTCTAAGGATGTTTCATGTCCAGTTGGGGGGCTGCTGCCTCTCGCCTGTGGGTGCCCCCCGGACTCCATTAGAAGCAGTGAGTGAGTCAGATTGAGAATTGGTGCCACTGCCTGTGGCCTTTTCCTGCAGGCATGTGGCAGCTCACCTCAGGCTCAGAGACCCAGGCTCCAACACAGGTCCTTTGGGACAGAAGGAAAGACACTGGGGGGCAGGGCCCTGCCAAGTAACACACTGCCTGTGCTTGTGTGAACCTAGCCTGTGGCATTGAGATCTCCCTGTGCACAGTGGACAGCAGGTGGTTGACACAGCCACTGGTGTCCCAGATATCCCCAGGGCTCACAGGTCGAGGAAGCCCTCTTCTTCCTAGCCATCAAGCCCCCTATAGTCTTTGGTTAAAGCAAACCCCATGTTTGTTTACTCTCAGAGTATTTTGATATACATAAAATTTACCATTTTAACCATTTTTAAGTGCGTAGTTCACTGGCATTAAGTACATTCACATTGTGTACAACCATCCCCGCTGTTCATCTCCAGAAACTTTTCATCTTCCCAGACTGAAACTCTGTCCCTGTCAAACACTAACTCCATTTCCCCCCTACCCAGCCCCTGACAACCAGCTTCCTACTTTCTACTTCTATGCATTTGACTACACTAGGAACCTCATATAAGTGGAATCAGAGAGTATTTGTCCTTTTGTGACTGGCTTGTCTCGTTCAGCATAATGTTCTCAAGGTCCATCAGTGTTGTAGCATGTCAGAATTTCCTTCCGTTTTAAGGCTGAATGGTATTCCATTGTGTATACACCACATTTTGTTTATCCATTCGTCTGTCATTGGACACTTGTGTTGCTTCCACATTTTAGCTGTTGTGAATAATCCTGCTATGAACATGGTGTAGAAATATCTCCTCAAGACCCTGCTTCCAATACTTTTGGGTATGTACGCAGTACTAGAATTGCTGCATCATGTAGTAATCCTATGTTAACTTTTTGAGGAGCCACCAAACTGTTTGCCACAGTGGCTACACCATTTTTCATCGCACCAACAGTGCATAAGGGCTCCAATTTCCCACATCCTTGTCAACACTTAATATTTTGAGGTAGCCATCCTAATGGAGTGAGATGGTGTCTCGTTGTGGTTTTGATTTACATTTCTCTCATAATTAGTGACGTTGAACATCTTTTCATGTGCTTATTGGACATTTGTATATCTTCTTTGGAGAACAGTTTATTCAAATCCTTTGCCCATTTTTAATGCAGTTTGGTTTTTTGTTGTTGAGTCTTAAGAGTTCTCTGTATATTTTGGTTGTTAATTTCTTATCAGATATATTATTTGCAAATATTTTCTCCCGTTCTATAGGTTGCCTTTTTGTTCTGTTGGTAGTGTCTTTTGATGTACAAAAGTTTTTAATTTTCATGAAATCCAATTTGCCAATTTTTTCTTTTGTTGCCTTCGTCTTTGGTGTCATATCCAAGAAATCATTTCTAAATCCATGGCCATAATGCTTTTCCCATGTGTTTTCTTCTAATAATTTTTTAGGTCTCTGATTCACTTTGAATTGATTTTTGTGTGTGGTAGTAGATAAGGGTCCAAATTTTCTTTCATTCTTTTACATATAGATATCCAGTTTTCCCAGCACCATTTATTGAAGACTCCTTTCTCCATTGAATGGTCTTGTCACTCTTGTCAAAAATCATTTGACCACATATGTAAGGATTTATTCCTGTGCTCTTCTGTTCTCTTCCATTGGTCTATATGTCTGTCTTTATGCCAGTACCAAACTGTTTTAATTACTGTAGCTTTGTAGTAAGGTTTTTTTTTTTTTTTTTTTTTTTTTTTTTTTTTTTTTTTTTGTAGTAAGGTTTTTTTTTTTTTTTTTTTGTAGTAAGGTTTTTTTTTTTTTTTTTTTGTAGTAAGGTTTTTTTTTTTTTTTTTTTGTAGTAAGGTTTTTTTTTTTTTTTTTTTGTAGTAAGGTTTTTTTTTTTTTTTTTTTGTAGTAAGGTTTTTTTTTTTTTTTTTTTGTAGTAAGGTTTTTTTTTTTTTTTTTTTGTAGTAAGGTTTTTTTTTTTTTTTTTTTGTAGTAAGGTTTTTTTTTTTTTTTTTTTGTAGTAAGGTTTTTTTTTTTTTTTTTTTGTAGTAAGGTTTTTTTTTTTTTTTTTTTGTAGTAAGGTTTTTTTTTTTTTTTTTTTGTAGTAAGGTTTTTTTTTTTTTTTTTTGTCTTTTTGTCTTTTTTTTGTGACCGGCAACGGATCGCAACCCTCAGTGTCGTGCCCGTACCGGGATCGCAACCCTCGGTGTTGCCCCCGCTCCTCGCTCAGCCATTGAGCGGCCGGTCTATATGTGGGATCCGAACCCTCGGTGGGAGCGCCGCCACGCTTCCCAAGCGGCGCACTGTAGCAGTGTGCCACTGGGCTGGCCCGTAAGGTTTTTTTTTTATTTGTGTTTTGTTTTGGGTTTTTTGGTGGCTGGCCTATATGGGGATCCCAACCCTTGCCCTTGGTGTTGTCAGCACCACGCTCTCCCAAGTGAGTTAACTGGCTAGCATTTTATAGTAATTTTTGAAGTCAGGAAGTGTGACCCCTCTAACTTTTTCTTTCTCAGAACTGTTTTGGTTATTCAGGGCCCCTTGAGTTTCTGTGATTTTTAGGATGGACTTTTCTGTTTCTGCAAAAAACATCACTGGGCTTTTTATAAAGATTACATTGAATCTGTAGATTGCTTTGGATAATGTGGACATCTTAACAATATTGAGTTTTCCAATCCATGAACATGGGATGTGTTTACATTTATTTCTGTTCTCTTTCAACAGTGTTATTTTATAGTTTTCATTGCACAATCTTTCACCTTGGTTAAATTTTTTATTCTTTTTGCTGCTATTGTAAATGGAATTTTTTTTTTTTAATTTCCTTTTCAGGTTGTTTATCATTAATCTATAGAAATGTAACTGAGTTTTGTGTGTTAATTTTTACATCCTGCTACTTTGCTAATTTTATTATTGGTTCTAAGAGTTTTTTAATGCTGTCTTTAAGGTTTTTTCCATATAAGATCACATCACCTACAAAAAGAAATAATTTTACTTTATTTTCAATTTTGATGCCTTTTATTTCTTTTTCTTGCTTAATCACTATGGCTAGAACTTCCAATACTACATTGAATAGAAGTGGTGATAGTGGGCATCCTTGCCTTGTTCCTGATCTTAGAGGAAAAGCTTTCGGTCTGCCACCATTGAGTACGATGTTCACCGTGGGTTTTCATACATGGCCCTTATCATGTTGCAGTCGTTTCCTTCTGTTCCTGGTTTGCTGAGAGTTTTCATCATGAAAGTGGGACTTTTGTTTTGAATCTGATTTCCCTCATCAGCATTGTCCTGTTCTCATGGTCCCCAGTCCTAGCCCCAACCATCTGAATATTTCCTCTGATTGTGTTGAAAATTTTTATATTTGTAAAATCACGAGGAATATGAACAGAGTAGACATGGGATGTTTTAATAGACTTAATTGTCCCAAGTTTGAGACAGACCGTTTTGAAGAATAACCTGGCATTGCTGATATCTGAGGCCAGCCCTGCCCACTGTGTGTTTGTTACACATAATGTGCTTTTCAAAGTGCTCTTGGTCTGAGCAAGTACACAGGCATGGGAGGCTGGCGAGGCAGAAGTATCTCTAACCCCTAGAAACCACACGTCATGGTAGCAGCATGTGGCACAGCCCTGTCTCCTGGGATTCTCTGCTCAAGCACAGGAGCAGGGGGACGGGCCCCAAGAGAAGCAGCCTGGCCATGGGAACTCTCTCCTAGGAACCCACTTCCAGCGAGTGATCCCAGAAGATGGCCCTGCAGCTCAGGACCCAGAGAGCGTCAAGAGGCTTCTCTTCTGCACTGGCAAGGTGTACTATGACCTCACACGAGAGCGCAAGGCGCGGGGCATGGTGGAGCAGGTGGCCATCACAAGGATAGAGCAGGTGAAGGCGGGTGACACCTCAGCCAGGTGTTGGTGTCTGTATTAGTCCCTTTATGTTGTTTATAACAAAATACCTGAAACTGGGTGATTTATAAAGAAAAAAGACATTTATTGTTTATGGTTTCTGAGACTGGAAAGTCCAAAGTCCATCTGTTGGTGGTGACAGTGACCCAGGGGTCTCACATTTCAAGATGGTGGAAGCAGAGAGAGCAGAGAGAGAAAGAGACTCTCCTCTCCTCTTCTTGTAAAGCCCTTAGAACCACGCCCCTGACCACCATTTTTAATCCATTCACTACTACACGGTCCTACAATCCAATCACCTCTTCAAAGCTCCACCTTTCAATTACCATAATAGGATTTCCCACCCTCTTAACAGTCACAGTGGGGACCAAGTTTCTAATACATAAAACTTGGGGGACACAATTCAAGTTTCAGTGAGTTTGGGGGGACATTATTCAGTTCACCACAGTGTCCCTTCTGTGGGGTGACGGGGCTCTGGCGCCTCCACAGAACATCTAGAACATCATTGACTGAGATGGGGACTCCCAGGTCTCTGACCTTCCCCTCCTGGAACAGCCACGGTGAGGTGGCTCCCTCTGGAACAGCAGCCCCCATTGGCCTGACCTGACCTACCTTCAGAATGTCCCTCTCTTAACATGACCCCTGCTCTCTCCCAGCTGTCACCATTCCCCTTCGACCTCCTGCTGAAGGAGGTGCAGAAGTACCCCAGTGCCGAGCTGGCCTGGTGCCAGGAGGAGCACAAGAACCAAGGCTACTACGACTACGTGAAGCCCAGACTCCGGACCACCATCAGCCGTGCCAAGCCCGTCTGGTAAGGCCTTAGGCCAGTGGGCAGTGACCCGGGGTACCTGCTAGACAGGGATGAGGCCAGGTCCCTTGGTGGCCAGCACCCTCACTTCCCCTGTCTCTCCCTCCCTCTCTCTGCCTCTCAGGTATGCTGGCCGGGACCCAGCAGCTGCTCCAGCCACTGGCAACAAGAAGACCCACCTGACAGAGCTGCAGCGCCTCCTGGACACAGCCTTCGACCTGGATGCCTTCAAGAACTTCTCGTAGACATGGCCAGGGGCTGCTTGGGTCGCTGCCCTCTCCACGCTACGACCACCCCTCGCTTCTCAACTAAAGATTAGAGCCTCAGCGCCGCCCATGCCTCTCTCCCTCCCACTGTGCCGCACACGTCCCCACTTTCATAGGAATTAGGCTGTTCTCCCCTCGATTGCTTGGCTGCCACGCAGGCCAGATGTTGCCCAGGCTCTGTCGACTTCTGTCATGCTGAGCAGCTTTCATAGAGGCCATGGGGAGTGGTAAGAGGAAAGGAAGCCCCCACAGGATGTCCTTGGAGAGGGTCACCTCTGGCCAGGCCTCTTCCTGCCAACATCACCTCCCAGGGCATGGTCTGGTCCTTGTGACTGCCCGGTGTGCTCACAGTCCTTGTCACCCAGCAAGGCACCAGCATCTTGCAGCTGGGCTAGGGTAGCCTCATCTTCTTGGGGCTGAGCCTTAGAATTGGTGTTGGCGGGGAGCCTGGACCTGGATCTAGCCATAGCTGGCAGAAGGTACCCTCTGCTGTGGAATGACCTTAGCCTGACCTGGCACAGAGAACACAGGTTTGGTCTCTGCAATGTCCATTCTCTGCTGCCCCTTTGAGGGTCCCAGGCTGTGCGTGGGAGCTGAGCATACCCGGCCCACCCTGTCTGGGGTCCAGCAGCACTGAAGCCCACAGGGCCTGTGCATGGCCAGGAAGCCCCACTCAGGTTCCTGCACCGGGGCGCTGGCTGCTCCGTATCAGTCCTGCTGACCCTCCACCTACCCCTGCCTCCCTTGGCACCCCATCACTCTTCTTTCTTTCTGCTATTTCCTTTTAACCCAATGGAGACTTTGTGATGCATCATTTTCTTTGCTGTGCCAAAGCAGGTCAGAAGATGGAGAGGAGGGGTGGGGGCAAGGGGGAGGGCGTGGCCAAGGGGCCAGCTGCCCTTCATCCATCACTTTGACCTTCACAGGGACGGATATGATTTATTTATTTTGGTTAAAAAAAAAAAGAACAAAAACAACTTTGCATTGCATTGGCTTGACCCATAAACTAAGTTATCCGTGGTTCTGGTTCTGTCTGCCCTGTCATTCTGTCTGCTCCGCCTTCTCCCCACAGGAATAGAGCTGGGCCAGGCCTCTCCTAACCTTCCTGGAAGCAGCCCCTTCACCGTCCCCTGCCGGCTACACAGGCTGAGGGCCCCCGCCCCACGGCCCCCTGCAACTCCCCTACACATGACAGTGGCCATCCTCATAAGCACAGTGGAGCCTGCCTGGGCCACCAGATTGCCTTTGGGGCACCCTGTTTCTGAGCCTGCCCTGCTCTCAGGTCCCTCTTCCCCACTCCACCTGAAAAGAAGCACTGTGCACTCTGTGCTTCCGTGTTGAGCCAGTGTGCCTGGTGGGCTAACCCTAGCAACACAGTTATTAGTTACTGCCCCCTAAAGCCCAAGCAGCTCATCTAACTTGGAGATGAGACCCCACCACCACCATGAACCAACCCCCCCACCCCCAGCACGCCAGCATGGCCCTGGGTTCCCTCTGGCCAGGAGCCCACTGCCTTCAACCCACAACAAGCCAGGAGTTGGCCTCCTGAGGGGTTGACTGGCTCTTCCACTGAGGAAGAGCTCAGAGAAAGGCCTGGAGGGGGTCCCCAGCCCCTGACTCCAGGCAGCACCTGCCTGGGCCCCATGTTCCTGAAGCCTCTGCTATCCCCTTGTTGCATGGCTTACAGCATGACCACCGGTCCATACCAGGTAGGGTGAGGCCTGGTGTCAGAGAAAACAGCCACCACCTGCCCCCAGAGCTGCAGAGGGTGGGATAAACCTGTGCTGTCTGCCCACAGCCACACAGCCTCCCTGCACTGCAGGAGGCTGCCAGGATAAGGGGTTGATCAGAGCATTATGGAAATTGCCGTGGTGTCTGGAAAGCCTTCTGGCCCCTGTCTTGCACAGAAGAGCTCACCATAAACACCACCGACTCTGTCCTGCCATCTGGGTGGTGAGCCAGGGTTTCACTGTTTCACTCCAATCCAAAGACCTTTTGGAAGATGGCTTCAGGGTGGGCTGCAGAGAGTAGCCAGGGAGGCAGAACACCTGGAGGAGCGGAGACCAGATGGCTCAGGGGCCCAGAGCACCTCCTGGGGAGTGGGGGCTTGAGTTGATTCCTGAAGTGGCTCAGCATGGTGACCATTATGTTGCCGGCCATGGGCCCTTCTGGTGGGAGTTATGACCATGGAATGGGCATGGCTTCTCTGGAAGCTGCTGAAGTAAAGGGGGTGGTCTGCAGCCCTGAGCACCCCACAAGGAGAATGGGCCTTTGTAAAGGCACCGGAAAGATCAGAGACAATCAGACACACTGGACCAGATGCCGCTGCCAAGGGGGATTTTAGTGCCTAAGTGACATGGCACTCACAGTACATCATGCAAATGGTTTTCTAGTTAGTTTTGGTCTTCTTCAGTTTTTAATTGCCCCCTTTTCTAAAGTTAGAAAGGAAATATTGTCAGAAGGCAGCAGCTCCACCCTGTCTAGGGAGCATCCTGTGTGTTTAGATGAGATTTCAATGGGTTAGGACCTGTGCGTGTGCGTGTGTGGACAGAACAGAGTGGTGTTGGGTGGTGGCCCTGGGGTAGCGACACGGATTTAGCAGGTGTGGTGCTGGGTGTGCGAGGCAAGGTGTGGGCTGGATCACAGACTGTGCTGCCTCTGGGCCTTGTGCCAGCTCACCTCTGCACCCACATGGTTCTTTGCTTGAGCTGACAGGACATGCAAATGTGTTTTCAGTACAGGGAGACCTTGTTCTGGTCACGGGAGAGTCAGGAGCAGAGCCGTTCAGCCCCCTGGGACTCATCCCCAAGGCTCTGATGGGACGTGGAGAGCCTGCCTGACCCATGTTACCATCAGGCAGGACCAGAGTCTAGGCCAGATATGGCTTCCTTGTGCTTTTCTTTTTTTTCTTTTTTTCCTTTTTTTGTCTTTTGTCGTGACCGGCAACGGATCGCAACCCTCAGTGTCGTGCCCGTACCGGACCGGGACCGGCAACGGGATCGCAACCCTCGGTGTTGCTCCCGCACCTCGCTCAGCCAGTGAGCGGCCGGTCTGTATGTGGGATCCGAACCCTCGGCGGGAGTGCCGCCGCACTTCCCAAGTGGCGCACTGTAGCAGTGCGCCACCGGGCCGGCCTTCCTTGTGCTTTTCTGAATTAAAGGACCCGACATACCTGAACCAGACATAAGACAAGTTGGTGAGCCATCAGCTTGCTCCGGGAGGGAAGCTTTAGAGGCAGGCCAGAGAGCTTGCAGTACTCCCCCCCAGTCCCCCATCCCAGTAGTGACACCTGTGCCACCCCTAGCAGCAGGTAGGGCAGGGTGAGGGTCAGGGCCAAAGTCTGGACCCCGAGGGCTGATGCCTCACTGCAGAGGCATCAGCAGCTGCATGGACTCAGCTCAGTCTGAGGACCAGTACTGTCCAGTGGTGGCCAGGTGACAGCTGAGGCTTCACTCCATCCCGTGCTGGTGCTGAGGTGTCCGGATCTGAGGAAGGAGAGGAGGCTGCAGCCCCCTGGTGTAAATGGAGTTGGAATTAATGTCCACCGCTGCTTCAGTCCTAACCTTCCTGGGACAATGAGCTCCGCATCAGGACTGTATTCATCTGGGATTAGACTGAACAGAGATGGTAGAAAATTTCCCTCTTCAGGATTCCTTGATCCTCCAACCAGAGTGTCTCCTCACAGGGATCCCTGCTCGGCCAGCTCTGGTGTCTGTGCTGTCACACCTGACTCTTCGTTAGGGACTTCCCCCAGTGTAGGTCAGAGCCAGGGGTTCTGTCCACAGTGCCTGCGGGGGCTGCTCTTGCCCTCCCCCGCCGTATTCCTCTCCCCTGGGCCTCACCCTCTTCCCAGGCCCTCGTCCTCCTTATGAGCCCCCTTACCTTCCCCAAGCCCATGGGCTCGGCCCCAGCATGGTCCCAGGTTGCTCTAGGAACCTGTCTTAGCCCCAGGTGCCAAGTCTGCCCAGGCCCCTGCTCAGAGGGTCACCACCTCCCCCCCAGGACTCCTGCTGGTGGGGGTGGGGGTGGGGGTCATCAGCCTTAGGAACCGCAGAGACCTTGTCTCCTCTCCAGCCCTCTCCAGCCCACAGCTGGACTCCAGCTAGGTCCTTGCCTGCCCTTGGAGGCCCTTGGCCTGGACACCCTCGGCTGAGTCCCTTCCCTGCCAGATCTCTGTCCTGCCCATCTAGGAAACCAGCCCTAGTGGGAAAAGCTGCTGCTGAGCAGCCCAGGAGATTCCCCCATCCCACCTGCCACCCTGGCCAGGTGTGTGCAGCTTGAGGGGAGCTCCAGGAGGCAGGACCATTCCCTCTGTGTAGGACCCTTCTATCGCATTCCCCTGGGGTTTCCTCTGCCCCCCCTCCCCCCCAGTCCTGAAGTTTATGAGAACAGGGTTTAGCACCTAAGTTCAATGAGGCGTCTGGGCTATGGATCAAGGAACAGTTTTGCTTAGTTTGGGAGTTAGTAAAGCCTCAGGGCCCCATTTGTCACAGCCAGAGGCCAGGGAAGGAGTGTAAACAGGGAGCTTCGTGACCAGGTTGGCATGTGCAAAGGCCCTGGTGGTCCGTTACCTGCACCAGAGGTATTGGAGGAAAATGGGTGGGGCTTAGAGACCCAGGTGAGGTTGAACCAGGGGCAGCAGGGAGACAGATGTCAGGAGGCTTGCCCTCTGCCTTCCCCTCCACAATGTGGAAGCGGGAGACAGCAGTTGGAGAAGTGAGGAGGGGGAGGCTGAATTTGAAGGCTTTGCAACATCCAGGTGGGAATGTCAGGGAGGCCATCAGATATACGGATCAGAGCAGGGGGGTTGTGCTCCGAGCCATCTGTGCATGGGAGTCCTGACTCCTGGGACTGAAGAAGACAGTGGGAAAAAGGAGGGGAGGGGGCAGGGCCAGGACAGCCAACCCATGCACCCTGCAGAGCAGGAGCCGAGTCTACATTTCCCAGAGGACTCCTTTTTCTCCCTCCCCACCCACCCCCATCTTGTCCCATCCCTAGATTTTCCTCATCAACCAGGCCAGTAACCTGGCAGTGCTGCTCGGCATCCCGTAACTTTCATCCCTCCCCTCCTACAGAGACAATCTCGTCACTGCAGAATGATCTCCTGCGAACTCAGATTGGATCCTGTCTGTCCCCTGTAGAAAGTCAACAGCTCTCCTTCATTGGTAGTCTGGTTACTTAGTGAGCCCTCCTCCCCTCCTCGTAGATGCTCCAGGCTGCCCAGAGCTCCGCAGTACTAGAGAGGAGCTGGGGGACGCCCCTTCCTGGTCTCACTCCCTCTGCCTGGAGTCCCTTTCCCTGCCTTGTCCCTCCCAGCCCAGTGCATCACCCAGGAGCTACGGAGTGTCCCTGCCCCTGGCTTGCTGGTGTCAGCCACAGTACCTGGCACATGGACTCCCCCTTGTCTGTTGAATTTGCCCTCCTTAGATGGAGACTAGAGACTGGGCAGAAAGGCCGGCAATAAGGGAAAGGGAGAACTTTGGCCATCGTATGTGGAAGTGACTACGAGCTTCTTCATTCCAATACTCAATGCCACAGCCCCCTGGACCCATGAGCAAGGTCCTTCCTGGGTTTCCCTCAGCGCCCCTCCCACACCTCCTCCAGGCCACATGGGCCAAGGCCTGGCCGCTCGCCAGGCACTGGGGACAGAAGTGAGTGCAGGGGAGGACAGCAGGCGGCGGGCTGAGCAGCCACAAGGTGCTGCAAACATTGTCTTTTTCCTGGATGTTCTAAGCACCTTCTCCTTCCAGCCCCCTCCCCAGGGCTGGTCACTTCTGCTTCCCCGCAGGGACCTCCCAGAGCCTAAACCAGCTGGACTCCTCAGATGCCCCTGATGGTTTTCTCACCTCCAAAACCAGCTTTGCCTCTGTCATCCCGCGTCCTCCTTCCCCCACAGTCCCCCTCAGTCTTCACTTTGTGGCTGTTGCTTGTTGTTTTGTTCGTAGATCACCTTCTGGCTGCCCAGCTAGGATTTAGTACTGAGATGTCACATTCCAGTTACTCACTGATTAGCAAAGTTAACT